TGATAGGTAGTGAAAGCGACCCCGCTGGTCTCCAAGATACCGGCCGTACGAAGCATCCTCTGACACTTGTCTAGAAAGCCCTGGGCATCCTCGCCCTCTGCTCCGCTGAAGGTTGGAGGCCGAAGTCTCCCAAATCTCTCCAACCTACGCTGCTCATTCTCTAGCATGACAGGAACTACAAAGTCCTGAGTAGCTGCGACCGGCTGGGCTGGAGGTGCCCCTGGCGTCTGAAGTCCCTGCACGACCTGCTCAGGTGTGCGGGCGGCGGGAGTCTGACTGCCTCTCCCAGCCTGTGAAGTAGCTGCGGCTGTAGTGGCGGAAACCGCCTGAGCTAGGCCAGTGCAAACTGATAAGATCTGAGCCAAGGCCTCCTGAAGACACGGAATCACAATAGGCACAACTGGTGCCTGAGTTGGTGCTGCTGGAGGGTCCACAGCTGGGACCTGGTCCTGAACTGGGGCAGCTGGTGGATCTGCAGGTGCTGCTCCCGCTGCTCTGCCTCTACCACTGCCACGACCGCGTCCTCGGCCTCTGGTGGCCGCAGCTGGTGGCACTGGTGGTCGTCCACCCCGTCCGGTAGCGCGTGTCCTCACCATCTGTGGGAGAATAGGACAACAGAAGTTTAGTACTCGGATCAACAAACTCGCACGATAGGAATTTCAAGAATGTGAAGTTTTTCCTAAAGGTTCTGCAGCCTCTCGAGGATAAATACAGACGTCTCCGTACCGATCCGCGAGACTCTACTAAACCTGCTCATGACTCGTGAGACCTATGTAACCTAGGCTCTGATACCAACTTGTCACGACCCTAAATCCCGACCCAGTCGTGATGGCCCCTCTCGTGAAGACAAGGCCAGCCAACTAAACCCAATTCATCTTTTAAAACAGTTAACCAACACAAAATAGTCTAAACATGATTTAATAATACTGAATAGCGGAAATATCGAGAAAAATACGAAAAATCCAACCCGACACAGCCCTAACCGGGGTGTCACAAGTCACGAGCGTCTATGATTACAGTCTGCTAAAGTCATAAGCTACTACAAATGTTTGTAAGGAATCAGAAATGATAGAGGAGTAGAGACACAGGGCAGCGGATGTCAACAGCTACCTCGTAATCTCCGAAAGGGCCCGCCTGGAACTGGAGGAACTCAGCACTCCGGAGCGGAACCAGCTACGCCTGAATCTGCACGCAGGGTGCAGGGGGTAAAGTGAGTACTCCAACTCAGTGAGTAACAAATGTAAATAATGACTGAAAGTAAGAAAGCACGTAAGGCACAAAGCAGTCTATAATGAAGCAGTAAAATCATTTGAAAACACAAGTAAAATCCTCTTTCATCACGTAAACAGGTAATTGACAGACAATTAAAGTGCAGTAAATAAATAGAAGCTCGCCCCTCGGGCACAGTATTACCACATCCACCCATCGGGCCATATCTCAGAACAATAACAGCCCCTCGGGCTCAATCTCACATCACACTGGGTACCCGCGCTCACTGGGGGTGTGCAGACTCCTGGAGGGGCCCCTTACGGCCCAAGCGCAATAACAAGCCATCTCGTGACATCTAATCTAGGCCCTCGGCCTCATATCACTCAAGTCACCTCGTGGTGCATATCTCTCAGACCCTCGGCCTCAAATTAGTATCAATGTCTCCTCACAACATAGGCCCTCGGCCTTACTCAGTCAAAAATACTCACAAGCCCCTCGGGCAATAGTAAAACAGTATTTCTCAGCACAAAACATCATTTAAAATATCGTTTAAGTCTCAAGACTGAGTAAAACGGCTGAGTAACAAAACAGTGGAAAAATAACATGACTGAGATCAAATAGTAGTTCAAAACAGTGAGGAAATATCAATAAAAAGCCCCGAGGGTTCAAATAATATGCACGAAGCCCAAATATGGTATTCAGCCCAATAAACGATGATAACAAATAGTTTTCAATTAAATACGCGGTAAAATCATCAACCGGGATGGACCAAGTTCAAATCCCTAATAGTACACGACCCCACACTCGTCATCGAGCGTGTGCCTCACCTCAATATAGTACTACGATGCACAATCCGGGGTTTCAAACCCTCAGAACATCATTTACAAGCATTACTCACCTCGAACCGGCTAAATCCCTAGCTCGCGACGCCTTTGCCCTTCGAATTGGCCTCCACGTACGTCGAATCTATCCAAAATCAGAACGAATACGTCACAATAGATTAAGGGAACAAGTCCCAAGCGAAAACAATCGAAAAATACCAAAAATCCCGAAATTAGCAAAACCCGAGCCCCGGGCCCACTTCTCGAAACTCAGAAATTTTTACACCAACGGATTCCTTATCTCCCCACGAGTTCATACATATCAAAATTACTAAAATTGGAGTCCAAATGACCCCTCAAATCCCCATTTAAAGGCTTCTTAAACCCAAGCCCTAATCCTCCATTTTTAGTCCTTTAATTCCTTTAATTTCAGTCTTAATCCATGAAATATTACCATAGAAGTGTGTTTTTGGTCCAAAAATCCTTACCTTAACGAAGTCTCTTGATTTCTCTCTTCAGAATCGTCCAAAAAGCTCCATGGTCGAAGGCAACAATGGTGAAATAGCTCAAACTCGCGAAGTGAAATACCTTATATGTTCTGCCTAGTCCTTTTCGCATCTGCGGAACAATAGCCGTTTCTGCGGTACCGCATCTGCGGTTATTCCTCCGCATCTGCGAAAAACACTTAACGGACCCAAAACCGCATCTGCGGTTCACTCGCCGCATCTACGGCTCCGCAGGTGCGGTTCCTCTACCGCATTTGCGGTCCCTGACTTCTCCCCTCAACCCCGCATCTGCGGCCAACTAATCGCATATGCGATGCCGCACCTTCGGTCCCCAAGCCGCAGGTGCGAAAATATCAGAAGCAGCAACTTCAGCAGTTGCAACACAATCCAATTTCCTCCGTTAACCATCCGAAATCACCTCGAGGCCCCCGGGACCTCAACCAAAAGCACAAACATATCCCAATACCTTATTCAAACTTGTTCCAATCATCCAAACACTTCAAACAACACTAAATCAACCAAAACACCTCGAATTCAAGCTTAAGTTTCTAAAAACTTTCGAATTCCGCTTTTGATCAAAAACCCAACCAAAACACGTCCGAATAACCTGAAATTCTGCACACACACCCCAAATCACATAACGAAGCTACTGCGACTCTCGAAATTCCATTCCGACCCCTATATCAAAATCTCGCCTACCAACCGAAAATCGCCAAAATATCAACTTCGCCAATTCAAGCCTAATTCAACTCCGGACTTCCAAAATCCATTCCGATCACACTCCTAAGTCATAAATCACCTCCCGAAGCTAACCGAACCATCAGAACTCACATCTGAACCCTCTAACACATAAGTCAATATCCTGTTGACTTTTCCCACTTAAGCCTTCTTAAAAGAGACTAAGTGTCTCAAACTTCGCCAAACCAATCCGGATTCAATCCAACCAACTCGATACCTCAAAACGCAGATGAACAAAGTAATAAGAAGCAGAAATGGGGGAAACGGAGCGGTAACTCATGAGACGACCGGCCGGGTCGTCGCATTATGTAATTAATCATTCAAGTTGGGACAATGGTTGGTCCGTGGGAGAGTTTATACTTAGTGGTTTATACTTGCTTGCTTATCAAATAATTCTTCTTTTTCAAGGAGGAAAACTTGATCGGAAAGATGGTTTTTATCTTATTTCTGGTAGGTTAGTATAAGTAAGAACTAACTCGTGTCGGTATTTACATCAAATCATATTAACTTATCATGTTTAATGATAAATTATAGCAATAATGCATATTATTAATTGTAAGCTTAGTAATAATAGTATATATAAAGATATGTTTGTGGACGCATTAAAATTGGATTGCAAATTTTCATAATTGTTCCATCAGACCTTCATATATTTCAGAATTTCATAATTGTTCCATCGGACCTTTATTATATTTTCTTATGTGAAAAAAAGAACTTTAATCTATAATAAGTATATGGAGTTCCAACTTTTTTTCCAGAAAAAAAAAATCAACTTTTTTCCATTTTACCCTTTTATATTAGAGACAAAGTTATAACACTCCTACTTGATTTCTATTTTCTGCTACGAGAGGGAAGGTGAAAACGTAAAAGGAAGAAACGAAAAGAAAAAGAATAGCCCGTTTGGACAAAAGAAAATTTCCCTTTTTTCAAAATTTTTTTCCTTTTTTCCGAAATCAACGTTTGTTTATAAAATTTTTCAATTTTCGAGCCCTTTTGGACATAAAAAAATTTTACTTTTTTTCGAAATCAGTGGTTGTTCATAAAATTTTCAATTTGTACTTGAAGATGCACTTTGAAAATTGAAAAATAAGCTTTTTTCAAAATTTTCACTCAAATCCCTCACAAAATTTTAAAAACAACTCAAACTGAAATTTATGTCCAAACAAAACTCTAAATTTCAAATACCATTTTCACGAAAAAAAAAATTCACCATTTCTTGGAATTTTACAATTCTTATGTCCAAACGCCTACTTCACTTATGCATTTTGAAAATTTTCGAAAATTTGAAAAACTCCAAAAAGCTATTTCTCAAAAAATTTCACTCAAATGACTCACAAAATTCAAGAACAACCCAATATTATATTTATATCCAAACACAACTCTAAATTTTAAATACCATTTTCACTTGACTTTTTTTTTTTAATTTTACCATTCTTATATCCAAACGCCCACGAAAAAGGAGCAAGAAGAATTAGAACTATTGTCGGGCAATAATCGACAATGTATAGAATTGATGCGCATGTCACGTAATGCATATGTTAGGTTATGTCAACATTTTTGGCACAATGGATGGCTCACAGATAGCAAACATATATCTGTTGAAGAGAAGATAACAATATTCTTAACCATTATAGGACATAATGAGCGTTTTGTGGTTATTAATAGAAGATTTCAACATTCTTCGCAAACAGTGCATAAGTACTTTCATGAAGTTCTTGATGCAATGATGAAATTTGCAAATGAGATGATAGCACCTACAACATCTGATACGAATCTTAATATTCCTTGTGCTAATAACAGGTTACGTAGAATTTTTAAGGTATTATTCATTATATTACTATCTTTATAGAATTTCACAAGAAATAATTTTTTTCTTTACTTTTAACTTAAATTTATATTTTGGCAGGGAGCAATAGGTGCACTAGATGGGACATTAATACATGCCGTTGTTCCAGCTAATCAACAGATTATGTACAGAGGAAGAGGAAAGGGTAAATGTTATCAGAATGTTCTGGCCATATGTGACTTCAATATGGTCTTTACTTATGTTTATGCTGGATGGGAAGGAGTAGCACATGATGCACGTGTTCTAACGAAAATAGTATCTAACCCAGAAAATGGCTTTCCATTTCCACCGCTAGTAAGTGATACAACTTAAGCAATTGAAATAATATTTTAGCTTTTCAATATGATCACCTAACTCTTTTTTCTTAATGTCAGACAAATACTATCTATGTGATGCGGCATATCCTAACACTCGAGGATTTCTAGCACCATATCGTAATATTCAATATTGGTTAGGAGATTATCATCTCAGACGTGCTATAACTAAGGAGGAAAAATTTAATCATGCGCATGCACAACTTAGAAATGTCATCGAGCGTGCTTATGGAGTATTGAAAGCAAGATTTCCGATATTGGACAAAATGCCTCCATATCCTATTGATATCCAAAGAGATGTTCTTATTGCATGTTTTGTGGTTAATAATTTTATCAGAAAGGAGCGCATCAATGATGATTTGTTTAATCAGTTTGATTTGCCTCAAGTAATATTTGACGAAGAGCAGCAACATGAAGAAGTACCGGGTGAAACTAATGGACCTAGCTGGACAGTTGAAGATTCTCAGATAATGAATAATATGCGCGAGCAACTCACACTCAAACTAGTACAAAGAAGAGGAAGTTCTTGATAGTTTTTTACTTTAATCATTTAAAATATTTTTTTAGTATTTAAATTTTAAAACTTGATCTGATTATTAGTTAGTTTTTCAAATATTCTAATGTTTGTGCGTCTAAATTATAACTAGTTTTGAGTTTATTGTTTTAATCTGTTGGATAAGTTTGATTAGAAGATAAATTTACGTTAAAAAGTTTTTTTTTGGTTACATTTCGTTACTACAATTGTTGTTATTATATATAATTTTCATTTATAGTTCAAATAGTTTAACAATTGGATCTTACATAAAATATTGATTTATATCTTATAATATTTCANTGATATTCAAACGTGCATTCAGATTCAGATGTCCTTAATCTTAAAAAAACGAACGAGGCCTAAGCCCTCATTTGTTTGCACTTAATGGAGGTCTGAATCTTAATCATTCAGATCTAAGACATTAAGTGCGTTTGTTTTTAAAGTCTGAATCTTAATTATTCAGATCTTAATCATTAAATGTGTTTAATTTTTTTTTACTTTACAACCACGTAATGAGTCTGAATAGGTCTGTATGATTAAGATCTATAATAGAAACTTAATTTCATTAAGATGCTATCACATATTCATTATTTAAACCAAATTTGATCGGTTTTTGAAATTCAAAACCAAACCAAACCAAAAAGTATCGGTTTTTTTTGGTCGGTTTGGTTTGGTTTTCGGTTTGGTTCGGTTTTTCGGGTTTTNATATATATATATATATATATATATATATATATATATATATATATATATATATATAAATGTTGAAAAACAAACAGTCTTAATCATTTAGTGTTCAGATCTGCATACCACGTCTTGATATTCAAACGTGCATTCAGATTCAGATGTCCTTAATCTTAAAAAAACGAACGAGGCCTAAGCCCTCATTTGTTTGCACTTAATGGAGGTCTGAATCTTAATCATTCAGATCTAAGACATTAAGTGCGTTTGTTTTTAAAGTCTGAATCTTAATTATTCAGATCTTAATCATTAAATGTGTTTAATTTTTTTTTACTTTACAACCACGTAATGAGTCTGAATAGGTCTGTATGATTAAGATCTATAATAGAAACTTAATTTCATTAAGATGCTATCACATATTCATTATTAACTGCCGCCACCGCCTACCATTATCAACTACCACCATCATAATCAACCACTCCCACCACCTCCACCACCATCATCCCCAATCATAGCCGCCACCATTGACGACCATCACCATGCACTATCTCCACCACTCCGACCACCATATATCATTCTCACCCACAATAAACACTCATGCACCTCAACTACCACAACTGACCACCCCATCATCATCAACAACCACTGCCGGCACTACCCATCATTATAACCTACCACCACCCACCCACCACCTACCTCAGTCACAACTACTACTACTACCCGTTATTATTAACTATCACCACCCACCACCATCATCCTCAATCATTATCGCCACCACTACCAATCACTACTAGCTACTAGCATGATCCACCATCATCAACCAAAACTACCACCAACCACCGCCTCTAGTCGGCATTCATCCGTTAGCCATCACCACCAATAACTATCATATTTTAAAAAACTATATATTTTATTGATCGAATATTAGATTAGTTAGTATTTCATTTGAATTTTATGTTTATTAATTTTTAAATAAAGAAAAATTTTATACATTCAGATGTTAAAAATCAAACAGTCTTAATTATTTCTATTCTGATCTTAATACACATCTTAATATATTCAGATGTGTATTCAGATTCAGATGTCTTAATCTTAATACACATCTTGATATTCAGATGTGTCTTCAGATTCAGACGTCTTAATCTTAAAAAAAACAAATGAGATTCTCCCAAAAGTGATCATATGTACGAAGTCATGGATAATATGGTTACCCATATTATCCGCCGGTTAACTCATTATTTATCCGTATTAAATATGGATCGGGTCGGATAATCTATCCATTTTTTCATTACCCATTTTCGACCCGAACCATATCCAACCCAACCCGTCCGTTTGCCACTCCTAGTCGTAACATCCAACCAAACCAAATAATAAATTAGTATATCAAGTCGGATTTTTGGTTTTGGTAAAGATTTTCATTTCAAGAAGCTCGGATCCTTAATGTACTAGGTTGAACAATCAAATCAAGTGACTTGTTTCTTACTCATTTAACGGGACTAGGGATAGTAATTATAACTGCTAAGTCATAACTAAAGGGAGCTTCTTATAATTTTTCTTTGCTGCTAACATGAGATTGGTAAAAGAAAGACATGAAATAACTGTTCAATTTCAACTGTACAATGTCACCTAATGAATGGTTGGCATCCATGTCTAATTTGTCTGATGTCTCAATGCTTAAACAGCATTTTCAACGAAGCTTAGAAATGAACAAAAAGAGATCACAGATTCACGAAACTGTTTTGATGCTAGAAACGTGAACCTTTCATTCTACAGCAATACTTCAGGGAAGTTTTGAAAAGTTGAAAAGAAAGAAAGATTAAGTCTTTCCAAGCATCAAGATTCATTTCCCCACAAATCCATTCTCTTCTGCTTTCGTCTATAAGCTTGGTTCCAAATTCAAGAAGACACAATATCTGCAACTTTTTTGGCATGTTATGGCGCATTTTTTCCTGCAATGAGAAACAAATGATGTTAAGAGTGAAGACACCTCTATGAAGAATGAAAAGAAGCAACAAGGGGTTCTCTCCCTGGTCAACTTTACAACTGCTAACACACTAATTCAGGATTTCAGGTAAACGAATAAACACAAACTTTTGCATTGCACTGTCATATGTAGGCCATTGTCAACAGCAAAATCATAGTCCTTCCATTCTCTAGAAACTTAAAACACCCTCTCCAGGAGTTCCAAATACGGGCACAATCACGGAATAAGACTCAGAGCCTGTTTGGCAAGCTTTCTTTTGGACCAAAAATGCTTTTTTTGGGCCAAAAGTGATTTTGGCAAAAAAATGAGGTGTTTGGCCAAGCTTTTAGAAGGAAAAAAGTGTTGTTGAGGAGAAGCAGAAGCAGTTTTTGAGAAGCAGAAAAAAGTAGCTTCTATCCAAAAGCACTTTTCTGAGAAGCACTTTTGAGAAAAATACACTTAGAAGCAGTTTTCAAAAGCTTGGTCAAACACTAATTACTGCTCAAAAGTGTTTTTCAAATTAGTTAGCCAAATACAAACTGCTTCTCACCGAAAGTACTTTTAAAAAAAGCACTTCTCAAAATAAGCTGATTTTAAAAGCTTGGCCAAACGGGTTATTTCTATGGTGTATGCTACAAATTTGGGCTCACCACTTCTCCTGGTCTTTGAGAGTCAAGAAACAGAACAGTGAAACTTACATCAATTCAATTTCCTTCCCCACATGACCACTTTTTGCTATCCTAAAAGTTGCAGGTGCTGTTATCGACTCGTTAAGTTCTACAATCATAATATGCATCGCATACCACAATACCAGGACTTAAAATGTAACTAACATTATGCACGTCGCTTCTTCATGCAAGGATCAATAACAATAAATAAAGGATCTTTCTGACAAACAAAATCTCATATGTATAGATACACATAATAATATGTACACACACACACACACATATATATATATATATATATATATATAACACACACACGTGTTCTCAGGGGCGAAGGTACATAGTCCTAAGGGTCGTCGAAAATTTACACTGTATATATAGGTAAAATATTAGATTTTAATGGTATATAACATATATTGAACACCCTTTATTGGAGATTTTTTTTTAACTTATTTCAAGTTTGAACCCCCTAAATGAAATTCCTGGTTTCGCTACTGGTTGTTCTATCCTGCCATGATGAACAAGAGTTGCAGCAGGTAGAAGTAATTGATCATTCAATAAAGTAAGCTTCTGAAGGGAGACAAATTTATATAAGAAAAGGACTTTTCTTACCCCAAATCTGGTTTAAAGTCATTGCCAACTGCATCAAAGATTTTCTCTCTGCCGGGGTAGAATATCCACCCTTTATCGCATCCTGAAATGCAGAAAGAAATTCCCGCCTTGCTTTTGAAGAAAGGGCAATGCAATCTGGTCCATGGACGGAACTCAAGTCCACCACCTAAGCTTCAGAAAAAGTATATCATAAGGCTAAAGTCCCGATATATTTCGGAAAGGATTTGTTCATGAGCCAACCCCTACTAGCTTGGGATTGAGGCACAATTATTTTACTTGTTCATGAGCGAAATACATCATCATGTAAGAAGTAACCAGAATTGTTGCAACTTGCAGAACAAAAAGGCATGTCCTCTAAGTCGTGTTAGACATAAGCAAGATGAGCAGAAACTTATGGAATAAAACGGAAGGAAGCTCTCACAGATTTGGCAGAAAACATAACTAAGGCAGAAGAAGAGAAAGTAATTTGACACAGTATTCAAACCCGACTTATGACCAAAAAGCTTGTCTACCTTCAGTGAGAAGCAACTCCGAGTTGAACCTTTTTTCCTAATTAACAATTGTTTGTGCATTTAAAGTTTCAAGAACAAGGATGAAGTCAGTTTAAAGATTTTGATAACCACAAGATGCACTTGCCTTTTGCAGCCAGGGAATTATGTTATTCACATATGTCTGTTCACAGAAGTACGATGCCAAAGTGGCCAAAAGATCACTTGAGGTCTTTTGCGATAAATTCTCCAGAACCGGACCTGTTGTATCAATAAGTTCAAACAAAACAAGTTCATCACCAGAGTAAAGGGCTTCCACATAAGCAGAGTCTACATCCCCTTCCAACAGATGTGCTTTGACAACTCTCCAGAGGTTGTTCTTGACATCTTCGTGCTGTTGTTTAGCATTAATTGTAGAAATCCTGCTGAAGACATCATTGTTTCTCCTCAATTGACCTCCATGAGTTCCCTGTCCACTATTTTTGTGAACTCCCTTTCCTACAGGATATCCACCTTGTTTTGCAGCAGGATCAGTCCACATGTCAAGATTTTGTTTTCTAAAACTGCTCGATCTACTCTTCAC